ACCAGGTTGCACGGCCTCTCAAGCATCCGCATTGTGGTCGTGTGCGATCGAGTCCTCCCTCCCTCCCACCCTTTATGCTATCATTGTTTAGTAGTTTTCAAGGTGCTTAGAGGTTCATCAGATTGTCAATTCTTAGTAAAATTAAATGACTTCAATATGAAGGCTTCTTACTCGTAAAGGCAGTCTCTGCCACCAGAGTTCGGATGACAGGTACATTCAGATCCGCCATCTCCTCATTAGCGAGGAAGATCTCAGCAATACCCTTGGCACCCGCCTTTGTAGAGGTCATTCTTGAGGTGTTTACATTCTTCACCAGTGCTGGTGCTGTACTACTGCTGTCGGATTGTTGTTTCATTAGTAGTTGCTGTAGCTGAGGGTGTTGGTTTTGAGCGCTCAAACTTGTGGTGGACGGAGCCGTCTTAATAACTGTTGACGGCTCACTAACGGCCTCCCTCGAGGCAAGACCGAGCTCCTAGTTTGAAAGAGAGAAATCTAAGAGGAGCAATAACATATGCTTCTCTCAGGCAATCCCTTAAACCACATGCAATTACAAGCATTTAGCATTCGCCTCCTCAAACAGAGAAGGCAAAGCGGCAAAGATGTGAGGAAAGGCACTAACTGCACAACTCTCATTAGGAGGAAAAGATAAAATGCGATGTACTTTCAACAAAGCCTACAGCAATATCCAACAATGTGTACTTTATATCTACTAAGGGGACTACAAATGGGACACAATTTCTGCCTATTAAACAATGCTTTCTCAACAGAGGGGATGCTGATGAAGCGCAGAAATCTGTGCCTGAGTCTATTCCCTACCTCAGCAGACGTATACGCTTGGTTTATTTGGCCAGCAGCACTGCCAACACTGACTTTTGAGCGTTCAATCTGAAGGTGGTCTCCATTTCCAAAATCCTCCATTAATACAGTTGAGAGATGGGGTGAAATGGGTGTAGTGTTGGCAAAATTTTGTAAGAGAGTGGAGAGATTTTTAGCACCACAGAGACGTTGAATCAGAGACGAGTTGGTGCTAATAGTGGCCGCATCCAAGAAGATGGGCAATTGAACACTGAAGAGGACCAGATGGTTGCAATCTGCAATGCCTCGAAGGAGATTGAGAGCCTCACTTGCTTCGTCTGATTGACTCTCCTGGAAGACGGTGTCATCTGGACGAGGTACATTCGTGGATTTCTCATAAAAGGCCTTGGATGCAAATGGAAAGGTATTGCAGTTTTCTCGCCTCATGATAAAGGCAAAATCACTTTAGTTCCCTTCTTGGAAGTTGTTGAGACCCTCGTCTAACATTTTGCTTCTACCCAACTGGTCCCGTGGCGTCCAGCTGCCTCGGTTGTGCACCCATTGGTCCGCCTGTTTGCTCACTTTTGAAAGTCCAACAAAAGCAACTCGACTTTTTACACATAAAACCTTTTATACTACCTAAATAGGGTCATTTAGTTGCTCTTGTATAGGAGTTACTACAATACTGGATTACACAAAATGAGGCGCAGTTTTTAGCCTTTACTTATGACTTGACCCCACCTGACCAAAACCGGACTCCTATCAAACACATGTCAAACGCACTCGCTTAGTCTGTGCTAATCAGTGCCAGTGAGGTTGGCTCGTTCAAGGCATTGGCTTAAAAAAACTGGCAATCTTGACAGTTGAGAAGTGTGGATTTAAAAAATGCAAAACATTTCGTGCATTTAAATATGTTCTTCACTTGTAACTCGACTCCCGTCTCTAAAAACACCTAATTTTGTTCAAACACTTGTAGCCATTCGTATGTTAAAAATCAATACAATAATCTTTGTTTAGACAACGTCCCGCTTAAAAAAAAACAGTTTGGTTACTTAGGGAAATGACTACTTATAAGCTACTTAATTCAGTTATAAGTAGTTTGTGGTGGTTGAGATTGTCAAAGTAAACTCACGGTAACATTAGTAGCAATGACGAAGGCAATAGGCGCATTCGGTTGAGTGAGCAAAAGACTGTGGACTTGATAGAATACGCCAGCAAGTTGTACAGCCGAAGTTGCATCTGTGGCATCAATCATAACCACCAGACGGGTCTGTTCAATGTCTTGAAGGTAGAAATTGAAGGCATGTAGCATGTCACAGATGTTGGCGAATTCTTTTTTGGCTAGAATGTCCACTTCACAGGAGGAGGTGAGAGGAAGCACATCAGCTGCTTCTAGCCTACTTTGAAGGCAATTTAGATTCGACTTGGTGGGACTATTTCCACTGGTAAGCCTAGCGGTTAATCTGTCCAGAATGGGAGACCGCTTCTTGTGCCTACCATGGAGTTCGGAACTCCCCGCCGCATAGACCTCAATGGCCTTAACCAGTGGAGTTTTTGGCCGATAGAAGTAGGCGAATGCTGCATTTGCAAGGGACGGAATAGACGCACAGACACCGAGGAAGATGACTGAGCTCATTATCACAAAAATGGGCAAAACTCGCAAATCAGTGAGCATGGCGATTGTGTTGAAATCAAAGAGGCGAAGCAGAAGGAGGTCAATGAGGATTGCTACACCTACCAAGATGACCACCACACAGGCTGGCAGACAACAAATTCGTTTGTAGGCTCTCTTGGTGGACACTAAAACAAATGGAAGCAAAATTTAAATCGTACGGCAAGTATACTACTTAATTCTTGCATAAGTAGGTTATGAAGA